AAGGTTTAGCTTAAATAAGCTAAGAAGATAAGGTTTGACAAAAAGTAGAAAAATCTTGGTCAACTCTCTGCATTGACACACTGAGGTGCAAAGGAAGGTGTTCTGCTCCTAATTTGTTAATCGCAGCTCCATTGGCTTCATGGCTTACTGAATTTACAGCCTCATTCCTTAGCTTGACAAAGGGCTAATGGTGAATAGCTGGATTGGATTCCTTCAACAGCTGCTCATATCTTGCTGCTTACTCACTCAAATACCCATACTTTCCTCATGTTTTAGTTAGAGCCATGCTCAGATGATCCTTTGTATGCAGCTCTTCCATCAGCTCAATGCTCAAATCTTCCATGATATCAACGTTGAAAATATGCCCTTCAATCTTGGGCTTCTTCATGACTTTGTTTATGTCATACTTAAGCACCGTATCTTTTCCCAGATGCAGCTCGATCTTGCCCCTTTTGACATCTATGACTACTCCAGAGGTGGCAAGGAAAGGTCTCCCAAGTATCAAAGGGTCCCTAGGATCAGCATCAAGCTCTAAAACAATGAAATCAGTAGGGATTTTACTGCTCCCAACTCGGACAGGAAGGTCTTCAAGTAGTCCAATGGGATGTTTGATAGAGCGGTCGACAAGCACAAGAGTTATTCTACTTGGCTTAAAACTCGTGAATCCTAGGCGCTTGGCAGTGGTAAGAGGCATCAAGCTAACCCTAGCTCCAAGGCCACACAAACAGTTGTTGAATGTGAGAGTTCCTATGGAACAGGGTAGAGTGAAACTTCCTGGATATCCGAGCTTCTTTGGTTGAGGAAGCTGCTGTATTATGGCACTGACCTCATGAGTTAGAACTACGACCCCTTGCACCTCATTCTGCTTGTTAGCAAGTGCATCCTTCAAGAACTTTTGATATTCAGGTATAAGCAAGAAGGCTTCAAGCGTGGGCATGGTTATCTCCACATTTTCTATCTGCTTCTCAAAGAGTTGCCTGTACTTCTCCACTAGCTGTTTCTTGAACCTTCCTCGAAATGGGAGTGGTGGTTTGTAAGGAGGAGGAACAAAGACAGGTTCCTTCCTTGTAGGTTGTATGGCTTCTATTTGTGCGTCATCAACTATTTACTTTCTTTTCCTTACATGCTCTGCCTCAGCTTTTCTTTCCATATCTGATTCAGCTTCAGTCTCTTCTTCATGAGTCTCAAGAGACACCCCCCCCCCCCCCCCCCCCCCCCATAGATGTGCTATTAAAGCGGTTGGCTTGAACCATTGCAATTACACTACTCTTGATCTCAAAGTGATGCTCTTGAGATGGTGGAGGGAGTATACCTCTGCGTCTAGTATGAAGGTAAGGAGCATCATGAGATCCTATATGTTGTGCTCTTCTAGTAATCTGAGGCACTGGCCTATGTAACCTCTGAACTGGTGCTTCATCTTCTCTGAACTGAGCTTGATGAGCATGTCTATGATGTTGTTGATCAGCCATTGTACCTGAGAAAACAGAGCAAGAAATGTAAAGCGATTAGTAAACTGAAAGGTGATTAAGTCTAAGTAAGAACCAAAACTCAATTATTTAAAAAATCCTAGAATGGCAACGGCGCCAAATTGAAGAAGGACTTTTTGGGTCACTAGATTCAATACCTCTCTAATCATATATAGTATAGATGAGGTTTATCAATCCATCTAGGAGCTAGAATAAAAGAGATGCAAGGCACTAACTAAGCTTAAACATGTATGATGAAGTTGGGATATTCTAACAACCTAAGTGATTAAAGATGAAATGCAGAAGTGAAAAGCAACACTACCAAGACTAAAGCAAGCAATGCAATACAAAGAACCTAAATGCAACAGGAACTAACGGGGCAATGAACTAATTGCAACAGGACTAAGATAAGCAAAGCAATAGAAAAGCAAGAACCAAAATAAATGCTAAATGCAATAACTTGAAAAGCAAGGCAAGGAATGGAACAAAAGTAAGCAACTAGAAACAGAGGAAAAACAGAACACAAAGTGATGAAAAGCAAAGAACAATCATCCCCAAATCTGCTCCAACCTCAAACCATATGAAACTACTCACAACACATAGCAAAATCAATATAAACAAGCAGAGTTGATAGATCAAACATGATTAAGCAGGAACTAGAAGAAAAATGATAAAGGAAGTGCAAAACTTTATTAAAAAAAGTGATCTTGATCAAAATCCCATAAAAATCTCTTTCTGGTTTCCCACAAGGTCGAAAAAAGGGTAAAGAAGAAGATAAGAAGCTTAAAAAGATAAGGTTTAGCTGAAATAAGCGAAAAAGATAAGGTTTGACAAAAAGTAGAAAAATCTTGGTCAACTCTCGGCGTTGACACACCGAGGTGCAAAGGAAGCTGTTCTGCTCGATGCTGCCAGCTCGGTATCGAGGTGGGTTCTCGGTGTTCTCCTCGATGCAACACCTCGATATGCCCTGTGCAGCGCGTATCGACGTCCTTCCTCGATGTTGGTCCTCAATGCAGATTAACGGCTTGGAATCCTCGTGCTTATCCTTTTCCTCTCTTCCTGCTGCTCGCATCGAGCATACTCCACGGGTGTTCTGCTCGATGTGCTTGCTCGATATGGACCAGACTTTGCAAGAACTCCATTTCTGACATCTCCTTTGATCATGAGCTGCTTCCATCCTTTCCTCAGCTCCAAGAAGCTCCAAAAACACCTGAGAATCACCATTAACATGCACATGTATGCAAATATATGCAATCATAAGCTAAATGCATGCTATGTTGATTCTAAGTGAAAATGATACCTAAATGCTGAACTATAATACAAAACAGAGGAAAAGATGCATGAAATGCAACTTAAAATGATCTAAAGTAGCAAGTTATCATTTAGCTGGCAAAAATATGTTTATCTTTGAAATACCAAGCCTTATAAATCTATGAAAATAGACAATTGGAATTCTTCAATAGACGCCATGCTTGTTTCGCCATGAGAGCATCATTGAATTTTCCAAGTCCTTAAAGCATAGACCACCTTCAAGTTTAACAAAATGTAGACATTTCAAAGCCACCGAAATAATACATTGGATTGAGTTTCTTTACCCCATCAGAATTGCGTAAGAATGCTAGTAAGGTTGATAGTAACATGCTTTGGAAGTTTAAAACAGGATAAAAAAAATAAACTGGCGTTGACATGGCTACTGATTTCATTAATACTTCTTTGACAGCATGTGAAAGCAACTTGGAACTCCAAGAACTTCTTTGTTATTTGACACGGTTTGAACTATTTGCAAATATTTCTGTTCTTCTTTCTGCCAAATTATTCCGGGAGTCCAAAATGTTTTTCACCTCCTCCATATTTTGTGATTCCAAGTCTTGTTTTTAACCGATTATGTTTCTGTCCAGGAATACGTGAGCTAAAAGTTATTATATATTTGTTTTGGTTTATTTTTTTATCTGAACATTGCTCATATAGTTGAAAGATATCTCGAATGGTAGAACAATTCTTTTTATTAGCTTGACAAGAGAAGAGAGAATCATCAGCCAAGAAGAGATGAGTGATTTTGGGTACTTCATTTTCAATTTGTATGCAACATTTGTATAAAAGAGATGGCTTAGCACGTTGGCCAAAGTATGGAGAGATATGGTCACAATAAATCACTCTGTCCCAATCCACGATTAGGATTAATATAATTTATAGACAAAATATAGGAGAAATGTACATATTATGTTTTATTTTTATATGCACTGATTAAAAACCTAGTATTCTAAAAATATGGCAAATCTAGTTAATTCCGTTAAGTTAGCTATAGCATTTTTTCCTTATTTAGTAGAATTGTTATATTGAGAAAGTAATTCAAATATTTATTACGATGTTTTGAAAAGAAAAATATTTTCAACAATTTGTATTGAGTCAACATTAGACAAACAAGAGAGTTCTTCTAGTAAAAACGACCTATTTTCAACAATTTGTATTGAGTCATGAGGCTTGTTAAATTGTTTACGATTTCTTATATATTTGTATCACTCATATTCAATCATGTTCAAGGTACCTTATCAACATCTTTTTAGTTTAATTGGTTTTTGATATCCAATAGAAAATTTCATTATTACTTGTAAAACAATATTTTTGAGATAGGAAAAAAAGGAATAAACAACATTTTAAAATTACTTAATAAGATTTGTTTAACCAAATTATCTATGATCTACTACTGAACATATTTTACTGTTGTTACAAAAATATTTTAGATGTGGAAGGTACGAAGGCAAGAGTGTGTGTTAGCATGGAGTCATACCCAGGCAAATGCCCCTTCAAAAATTTTAATGGTACTTTGTGCATAGAAAAATCAAAAGAAACACCGAGACCATTTACGTGTAATCCTTACCAAAATGTAATAAGAGGTGATATGAAAGATTATCATAGTTGCATAGGCACACGTAATTGCTAAATCTTATTATTTTATATTGTTAAATTGTATGCACTAATAAAATAAAACATACAATATAGAAGACTGTATTATCAAATTTATTGTAACATTCTAATACAATTTAATATTTAATTGTTTTTTTTGGTAATCCAGTAAATCAATGAGAACTTGAATCATATTTTTTTGATAAGATGTAAATTTGATTAGCAAAAGGAAAGTTTAAATATACGAGCTAGATAGCCAAGAGCTTCTATGGCCAAATAAAAAAAAAAAATAGAAAAACTAGGGAGAAGCGATATAGTAGGAGAGATTTAACAAAGCTATTTCTTAAACAAAAGAGAACCAAATTGAGAGGATCTGTTCGAAGCCTTTACGATGTCTTCTGGAGAGAAGAGTATCACGAATGGTCATCTCGATGAGCTTGACCAGCTCTCCTGGGGGCATCGAGATACCGTTGTGTACTCTGTTATTTCGCTCCCTCCAAATGTAATAAACTGTTGATTGACAAGCAAGCTTTTTGATGAGCGTAACTGATTCGCTTCTAGATCTGGAGAGGAGCCATTGGATCATGTTTCGCTATGATTAAAAGTGACGAGATAACGAGCGTAAGTGGTTCAGAAGTAAAGACCATACTTCAGAGGAGAATTTGCAGTGTATGAACAAGTGCTCTCTGTCTTCATCTTGCATAGAACAGAGATGACATAACGGGTTGAATGTTGAGAACCCAATGAACAAGCCTCACCTTTAACGGGAGTCTATAAAGATTAGTAACCCAGAAGTTAAAGGTATGTTTTGGGACCATACCTTTAAACCAAACAGCTTTAACCCAGTCTTCCACTTCCGCTCGCGCTCTGATCAGATTCCAGGTAATTTTTGTTGAAAACAGAGGGCTTGTGCTACCTTCCGAACCCCATAAGAAGCCATCCTGCCTTCGTGAGGGAGACGGCGCCTGCAAAGCTTGGAGAGTACCACCAAGAATAGACACATTAACATTTGTGGAGCGATTTAGGCATTGCCAGTCACACGAGGAGAAAGCATCTGCCACCATCGCCTGAACTTGGATGCCCAAAATACGAGGCCCATTCACACCCAGGAACTCGATATGAGGACATTCAGAAATCAATTATCAAACCAAAGACTGATCGACCTTCTGTTTTCAACCAAACATGACTGAAGAGGCCTGGCTAGAGGCCTGATAGAGAGCAAGCACTTCCAGATCATGGAATCTAACGCTTTAGCTTGAAGAGACCAAAAATTTTGAACTTTTAATCGGTGTTCTCACATCCACGCGACCCAAAGTGAGCCACTTGAGGTGAGAAGAAGCCAGACAAGCTTGAGATTGAGAGCTTTGTTCCAAAGGACAAGGTTACGCAGACCTAATCCTCCCTCTGCTTTAGGTAAGCAGACGCCATTCCAGGAGACCTTTGCCGAAGTACGAGTCGAGATGTCCCAAGCCCACAAGAACCGATTGCAGAGTTTTTCAATTTCTTTCAGAAAACAATTAGGGAGAGAGAACACTGAGCACCAGAAATTTACAAGACCGTAGATTACCGAGGATTCAGTTGTAAGCGGCCCGCAAAGGAGAGCTGTTTAACTGTCCAGCTATTAAACTTAGCTTTAATTTTGTCAATGAGCGGAGAGTAGTCTGATTTTCTCAGTTTTCGGTACATCAGAGGAAGGCCCTGGTATCTCATGAGGAGAGAACCTGTAGCATCCTTAATCGAGAAAATCTGGAATGATCGAGCCAGACAGGAGATTGTTCGAAGGAATGTGAGTTCAGTCAAGGGAAAAATGGTTCCGTCGGACTAATGGTTCTGTTTTATACTGTTTCCGAGGGAATACAGGTTCTTGCCCGAGGAAAAGTGACCAGGTTGAGAAATAGCTGAGAGGTGTTGAGATTTTGCCAGACCAGTTTGAGCGATAGCCGAGAAATCGCAAGTGTGTCCGGCTATCTCAGTTTCTGATCGAGAAATCACCGAGATTCACTCGACTGAAACGTTTGTTTCTGTGTCTAAGGTGAGTGTGTGATTGTGGTCTGTATCTAGAATCGTTTGATTGCTAGGTTATCTGATTTTCATTGATTGCTTGTGTAAGTTAGTGGGTTCTGCTTAGCAAGGTGAATGTTTCTGTGATTGTAAATGGTTAAGTGTGAACCGTGGTCAATACATGATGTCTAACTAGCTGTGTGAATGTCCGGTTCGAGTTACTAGCTCAAGGGGATGTGTGATTCTCGCTTGGAGTAGAACCAATGCCTTGTGAGGCTTCACAAGTAGTTGAGATGATCATAGGACCGTACTGTTTTCTGTGCTTGCTTGCTAAGTGATAATGAGAATTGCATAACTGATAGTATTATGCGTTTTCTGATACTGGCTAAGGTGTTACGGGATGACCGTATTCACTAAGTATTTCTCAAATACTTATGCCTCTCTTTTTGAGTGTGCAGGTAAAGATGAGGTCCAGGGCGAGTAGCTCTGAAGGCAGACTGGAAGGCAGTGAAGGTAAGGGGTGGATTAGGACTGGGTTTTGGGATTCATGTTCTGAGTTTGACTTTTGTTTAAGTACTTGTGTTAGTGCTTTCAGAGTTAAACCGAATCTGATAAGTTTAGTTTATGTTATTGAATCCGAATTCGGTTAAGTGTTTCTGGAATAATTATGCAATGATAATGGATGTTTTTTGATGAATCGAACTTGTTTAAGTTTAAGAAAATTTTAAAATATGCATGTTTTTGTATTCTGGCCGAGAGAAGACTCGGTGAGGTTTGGGCCAGTCTAGTGATAGACGGTTGGGTCCTCACAAGTTGGTATCAGAGCATGGTTGATTCTAGGACAGTTCATTTGCATAGTTGGGGTTAGAGTCTATCCACCTTTTCACTGCCAGGTCTTGCAATCTGTTGTTCTGTAGAGTGTGAAACTCTTGTCTGGGGTTAGCTTCGGGCTAACCAGTTTTTCTGTTTGGCAGATGGCTCCGAGAAAGAGAACTGCAAGAGCATAAGTGAATGGTGCTGAGAACACTGAGAGTTCTGGAAGTGAAAATACGGTCGTGGACCAACAGAGGGATGCGGCTGCAAATGCTGCGAATGAGGCGGCTGTTGCTGCTAATGTGGCTTCGGCCAATGCTGGAAACGTGGCATGGAATGCTGCGGGAGCACAACCGGTTGGGTTGGAGGCTGTTCTGGGGCTGTTGGCTCAAGTGTTTGAGTGTTTACCAGTGGTTGCGCCTGCGCCGGTAGTGGCACCAGCAGTGGCACCACAAGTGGTGGAACCGGCAGTTGCCGATAGAACTGGGGAAAGCGGATCAGGGTGTGGTGATTCCGTCTTACCTCAAGGTTCTAGATCATATGGGGAGGCTAGGAACCAAGTTCTCTGCTGGAGGTTCCGCGCCTATTGAGGCTGATGAGTGGAGGATGAGACTGGAGCGGAACTTCGATTCTATCCGCTGTCCTCAGGGTTACAAGAAGGACATAGCTGTGCTTTACTTGGAGGGTACTGCACACATCTGGTGAAGGGAATCACCAGGCGATTGGTGAATCCGAATTGTTCGTATGAGACGTTCTCTGTGATGTTTCAGAGTAAGTACTTCCCGCAAGAAGCTTACAATCAGTTGGAGGGTGAGTTTTTGTATCTGTGCCAATGAACCAAGACAGTTCGGCAGTATGAGACCGAGTTCAACCAGTTACGTAAGTATGTGGGACGTGACTACGGCACTGAGGATAAGCTGATCTGAAGGTTCATGAGTGGGCTAAGGGTTGAGCTGAGGAACAGTTGTCTGGTGCGTGACTATGCGACAGTCACTGAGCTTGTGGAGAAAGCGCACTGTTGGAATCTGGACAAGCAGAGGAAGCTTTGTCAAAGGCGAGTACTATGGTTGTCGTGGCCAAGAGTGGTCAATCGTCTGGAGGACAGAACCGCAGGTTTGGGAGGAATATTCCAGCCAAGTCTAGTGGGAACTGCAGCGTGTGTGGATCATGCGGGAAGGTGCATGTGGGCGTTTGTACGCGTTCAGCTGGGGCTTGTCACCATTGTGGAAGCCGGGAGCATCAAGTGCGGGATTGTCCTGAGACACAAGGATGGTGAGAGTGTCGGATGGAGACAGCGTTTCTGTTGTGTGTTACGGTTGTGGAGAATCGGGACACTACAAGCATGATTGTCCGAGGTCAGGAGCAGCTGAGCAAGCGGTTTCTTAGGCTAAGCGTGCAGGAGATGCACTGGCACCGGTGGCCAAGAGGTATGCCATTATGCCAAGAGTGTACGCAGCGACCACGGACGGGAGTGGAGATCCGAGCGCTTCTCGACAGATCACTGGTGAGTTTTATTACTTACAGTTTTCTGAGTTCTGTCTGTTGCATGTTGTCTGTGTCTGCGTGTCCTGTTAAATGTCTTAGCATTCTAGGAGTTGAATGTGTAAGGACCTTATTAATGAGTGAGGTAGAGACCCATGTTCTGTTTGACTTCGGAGCGAGTCATTGCTTTCTGAATCCAGAGATGATTGGAAAGGGAGAATTCCAGAAGGCACTCGGAGAGGATTTCGGTTTAGGGAGGGCGGCTGGAGGCCAAGTAATTTTCTCACTATGAATGGTTAAAAACATTTCTGTCTGGATTGGCAAAGTTAGTATGCCAACAGATTTGGTAATCTGCAATGTTAAGTCTTATGATACCATCCTCGTGATGGATTGGCTTAGTAAGTACAAGGCGCATCTGGATTGCCACCGTGGAAGGGTGATGTTCGAAAGAGATGGCGAGGTTCTGGTGTATCAAGGGATAAGACCGACTTCTGGTAGCTTGGTTATGTCAGCAATACAAGCGGAACGTTTGATAGAGAAAGGGTGCGAAGCATACCTGGCGACAATATCTATAGATATGGTTGGACCGGATGTGGAGTTAGGAATTATTCCTGTGGTACAAGAGTTTGAGGACGTTTTCCAAGCCTTGACTGGAATGCCACCAGCTCGTTCAGATCCGTTCAAGATTGAACTTGAACCGGGGACAGCTCCGATATCGAAAGCACCGTACAGAATGGCACCAGCCGAGATGGCTTAACTAAAGAAGCAACTAGCCGAAATTTTGGACAAAGGTTTTGTAAGGCCAAGCAGTTCACCATGGGGCGCACATGTTCTGTTTGTAAAGAAGAAGGATGGAAGTTTCAGGCTTTGCATCGACTACCGAGGTTTGAACCGTGTAACTATGAAGAACAAGTATCCACTTCCAAGGATAGACGAGTTGTTGGACCAGCTCAAAGGTGCTACTTGGTTCTCGAAGATTGATTTGGCTTCTAGGTACCACCAAATACCAATAGACGAACCGGACGTTCGGAAGACTGTCTTTAGGACAAGGTATGGTGATTAGGAGTTTGTGTTCATGCCGTTTGGTTTGACGAATGCACCAGCTGCATTCATGAAGCTGATGAATGGCGTGTTCAGGGAGTACTTGGATGAGTTTGTGATTATTTTCATAGATGACAACTTGGTGTATTCAAAGAGTCCGGAAGAGCATGAGAAACATTTGCGGATTGTTCTGGAAAAGTTGCGAGAACATAAGTTGTTTGCTAAGTTGAGTAAGTGTAGCTTCTGGCAACGGCACATTGGGTTCTTGGGTCACATTGTATCGGATAAGTGAATGTCCGTGGATCCTGAAAAGATCAAGGCTATTGCGGATTGGCCAAGACCTGAGGATGCGTCTGAGATAAGAAGTTTTCTGGGATTGGCTGGCTACTACAGACGTTTTGTGAAAGGCTTTGCAAGTATGGCTCAGTCAATGACACGTCTGACTGGTAAGGATGTTGAGTTCGTTTGGACGGCTGAGTGTGAGGAGTGTTTTCTTGAAGCTGAAAGGAATGCTTACAAGTGCACCAGTATTGGCTTTACCTGAGCTGGATGAACCGTATGTTGTGTACACTGACGCTTCTGGAAATGGACTAGGTTGTATCCTAATGCAGCATGGGAATGTGATTGCATATGCATCAAGGCAGCTAAGGAAGAATGAGGCGAACTACACTACACATGACTTAGAGATGGCAGCTGTAGTCTTTGCGTAAAAGATATGGCGATCTTACTTGTATGGTGGGAAAGTTCAGGTGTTTACCGATC